GTATTACCTCTACCCAAGAATACATACCTTAAATGCGGTGGTAGAGCCTTAAGCTCCAATTTCAGTGCCTCCACAATAGATGGTCTCGCAGGTGGGGACTCACGATTCTTCATGTCTAACTTATACCTCTTTGGTTTTGACCGATATTCGCACTTATTGAGTGCAGCTACCAACTTATCGTACTCTTCACTACCATCACTATTGAAATTCATCATAACTGCTGCTAGTGCCTCAACACCTAGTCGCTCTTCAATTTGCACTTTTGTTTCACTCTCAACTCTGTAAGTTATGGCAGATACCGTTTGGAGCTCACCACTCTGCTTCATGGATTTATAAATATTGAAAGTTGTTTCTTCATTGTTCAGTCTGAACTTCATCTGCCCCTTCTCCATATCAACCAACGCACTCCCTATGGCAATAAATGGTCTCCCAAGGATGATGGGAACCTCAAAATCAACCTCAGAGTCAAGAATCACAAAATCCACCAGAAAGATGAACAACTCCTCTTTCACTAGCACATTATGGAGTACACCAATGGGCCTTTTCACGGTTTGATCGGCCATAAATAACTGCATCGTAGTAGGCTTTGGATCCCCTAGACCCAACTTCTTATAAATAGACAGTGGCATGAGGTTGATGCTAGCACCAAGATCACACAATGCCTTAGCAAAGTGTAACAACCCTATAGTACATGGGATCGTGAAAGCACCAGGATCTTCCTTCTTCTGCACAAGAGACCTTGTAGCAATAGTTCTACAATGCTGCAATCTATTATCATCTTCAAAATCACAAACCTTTTCTTTGTCACCTTATCTTTCATAAACTTCGCATACCCAGGCATTTTCTCCAAAGCTTCTATCACCGGAACGTTGATGGAAAGTTGCTTCAACATAGTAATAAACCTGCGATATTTACCATCTTCAGTCTTCTTCACTAAGCTCTATGAAAAAGGTGGTGGAGGTCTAGGTATGGGGACCACTTTTTGAGATATCTCCACTTCTTTCTTTGTCGCATAGACTCTTCTCTAACCTCTACCTCATCATCTTTTTTTCTGATCTCAACGTCCACCCCAGACGGCATAGGTGGATCAATAGTTTGCTTACCTCCTAGAGTTGTAACTGCCATACAATGACCATCATTCTTTGAATTCTGGATGGTATTGCTAGGAAGAGTGCCAGGTTGACGTGGGTTCACTGTAGTAGACAACTGAGTCATCTGTTGCTCTAGATGTTTTATTGACACTGCATGGGCATCAACCTTTTGACCAATACCAGACAAGTCGTTTCTCATCTCTTTTACATTCTCATCAGTTGCATCAAACCTTCTCATCATCTTCTGCATCATAACTTTAATATGCGTCGTATTGTCTTCAGTTTCCCTAGTACCAGATTCCCAATTTTGAGAGGGAACATAAGAAACAAATACAAGTGGACCTGGCAAAGGAAAGGAAAAGGTGTAATATTCTTTTTCTTTTGGTCACATAAGGCCAAAGAATTAAAGTTACTTTTATAAAGATAATAGCCGAAAGCATTGTCGGCCTTATTAAATAAAATATAAGACAATGTGAAGGCCATAGGGGTCTGTCGGTCTTATCATTTGTTTATTGGCCAATGTATAAAGTTGTGGGCCATTCATTTTATTCGTTTTAGGTTTGAAACCTCTATATAAGAGGAAGTTTGTATTAGTAAGAGGCAGGTTTTAGAACCCCCCCCCCCCTCTCTCTTTTAAATTCTCTCTCAATCCATTATAATATTTTCTGAGTAATTTTCAATAAAAGTTTGCAATTTGGTTTGGAAGACTTCGTTTGAAGGTACTAATTCTTATTTACTCATTTTTATTTACTCTTATTTATTATATTTCTTTATGTTCATAAGCCCAATGATGGGCTAAACTGTTCGTGTTGAGCTATAGCATACTAAGTTATTATAAGGTGGTGTGGTGTATATTATGTTGACAGATTGAACAAATTAGATTAAGGTCAGATATAGATAACCCAGGCCAGTATATGAAAGGTCGCCGAAGGAATTTGTTGGATTACCCATAGGAAGGGCGGACCCGGATAGTAGGGACTTTTATACATTGTTGCCAGAGTTAGCTATGTCTATAAAGGTTCCTAATAGTCTAACTGTTGTGCGATCCGTTTACGTTTTAACCCAGGCCAGTATATGAAAGGTCGCCAAAGGAATCCGTTGGATTACCCATATAAAGGGCGGACCCGGGCAGACCCGGATAGTAGGGACTTTCATACATTGTTGCCAGAGTTAGCTATGTATATAAAGGTCCCTAATAGTCTAACTGTTGTGCGATTCGTTTACGTTTTGGTATCAGAGCCATGGATTTATAATAACTATAGGTGTTATAGTTCAACACAGTTCTTATAATGAATATCATAAAGAAAAAGTCTACTGTTAAAAACAGTAGAAAAGAAGAATATGATATACCTCAACATCTTGATCTACTTAATAAGTGGACTATTCCTAGAATTTCACCTAGAATTATATATCAAATGGGTACTTTTGAGAAACTAGGTCTCAAACAGGTGGTTAAAACCACAAAAGAAAGTATTACTATTGATAGTGACAATCAGACTTTTCGATTTTTATCTGATAATGATATTGCCCCTTCTAGGGATATTTATAGATTCATGCATATTGGTTTAGTACATGTTGCTTTCAAACCTCTTACTTTATGAGGATTACCAGAAAGCTTTATAGCAGCTCTACGTGATGGTAGAAATCACAATTGGAAGAAGTCTCTTATAGGGACATTTCAAACTAGTCTAGCATATGGGCCAGTTTATTTTAATGCTTATCCTAATTGCTAAATTTCCTTGTAGGATGAGAACTCTTTAAGTTCTCTTATATTAAATGTTAAACTTCATGGTTATGATTATATGCCTGGCACTGAAGTTGTTTGTATATGTTATAGAATTTATTATAAATTATTACATACTTTGAATCCTATGTGCAAAGTAATTGATTTTAAAAATGAAACTATTTTAATAGAAACTAATTTTGATAAATCTAAGGTAGTCACTAGACGACCTATTAAGTGGAAAGAAATTGATTTTCCACAAGAGTGGGTTATTGAGAACGCTACTCAACCTCAAAATAATGTTAATACAGAAGTTTCTGAAATTGAACAGTTAAATGATGGAACTGTTAAAATCAGATTTCATGAGCCAACTAACATGCTTATTGATAATCGTAGCATGTCTTCTAGAATGACTAGATCTAACTCTTCTTATATTTCCCCTATTGATTACATTGTTCAAGTTATTTCTCATGCATCTACTTCTCAAATTAGAGAAACCTATAAATGTGATAATATAAAAATTGATAAAGATAATATAGCCAGACCTATTCATAGAGCTAGTTCTGATTTAGATATTACTGAATCTGAAATGAATTTTCCAGATGGAATAGCAGGTTAAATTTGGTTTCTTATGACTGACAAAATTATAGATTTTAGTCCGGGGTCTCCGGCAAGAGCTTGTATCTAAAGATTTTGAGCGTAAAAAATGGAAACTCTTTAGAAAATGGTTTTTTAAAAACTTTACTAAAGATGAACAACATGAATTCCAAGAAGAATTTTATAAAGATCTTATTGACTCAGGAATAAATCGATTAATTGCATTTGTTCCTTGGTTTATGTGCAAACATGTTCATAATTATATTTCTATGCTTGAAAGAGATTTTACTCTAAGTAATGGAGAAATTACTAAATCAGTTTTTCCTCCACAACAGTCTTTTCAAATTAATAAAAATGATAGGATTGTTAACTTTAATGCTTTTTCAAAATTATTCGAAAATGACACTACTGTAATAACTGCCCAGCATATTAATGTCATGATTAAGCAAAATAATTATGCTAATATTTATATGAGTATTTTGGGTGATCATGTTATAACTTTACATGAGAAAGTTGATAAGCTTATAGCCTTATTACCTACTAAATTAAAAGGTAAAGAAAAAATTGCTCATAGCAGTTTACAGCCACCACCTGAAATTGAAGACTTCAAGATTAAAGATTATTCAGATCTTGAACATTTCTTAGAGAAGAAATTTAAAGGTAGTGGAGTTCAGCCTTTAAATGCTGAAAACTTTAATGAAGGAGAACCTAGCAATAAAAAGGAATTTTATGATAGTCTTAATAAGATATCAGAGAAATATGCTAGGAAACCGGTCCAAAGAATGTACTATTATCCCAGACCTACTCCACAATATGTTCTATTGGAAGAACATGAACATATTATAACTAATAGTTATAATGGAAAAGAAATCTATGAATGGAACATAGATGGTTATACCGATAGACAGATTTATACAACTGTTCATAGGATGTTAATGTACAGTACTATCTGTAAAACCAATAAAAATAGTGATAAGACTATTGCTGATATGATAACAGCAGGTTTTACTGGCCAATTGAAAGGTTGGTGGGATAATTATCTCAACCAAGAACAAAGAGACAGGGTTCTAATGGCGGTAAAACAAGAAGGAGAGCAAGTTACTCAAAACGCAGTTTATACACTGGTTTTGAATATTATCGAACATTTCTCAGGAAGATGGTCAGACAATAGTGAGACCATTAGAACTCTTCTCCAGAACTTAAGGTGTAAAACCCTTACATCATTCAAGTAATATAAAAATGTGTTCCTTTGTAGAGTAATGGAATTACCAGAGTGTAATAGCACTCATTGGAAATCCAAATTTATAGATGGCTTACCTACTTTATTTGCAGAAAGAGTCAGAAAGGCCATTAGAGGAGATCTCGTAATACAAGCGGGTTTTGTATGACTCTCCTGGGAAGTATAATCCGTTAAGTAAATATCGCTGGAATATCTTCCAGGGTTCTTCTTTTCTCTGTATCTCAGAGTTTTCAATAAGAAATATCATTTCTTTCTTTACTACCCTTTCATAGGAACTAATATCATCAACCTCTTCTTTTGCCACCGATGCAAAAGTATCACTTTGCTTTTGAGATAAATATGCTCTCAGTTAGGCGTATAATGGATTATTCTCTGGAATATCATCCAGATGTATCGAAGAAGTAGCTTCTCTTGAAGAACTTGTTAGTTTTACCAAGCTCATTCCTCCCCTTTGTATAATTGGAGAGCTAGATGATGATCCGTATGACGATTCTGATGTTTTTGAGGAGGATAATCTTCCCCTTCCGCGAGTATAACTACCCCTTCCTCTAGCCTTGGTTATCCAAGGAGGATCCATTCTGCAAACATAGAATTTAGTTTTAATCATCTAAAAGGTCATAAACTTCAGAACAATAAAATATTTCATATAACTCTTGTTCAATCATGTAATTAGCGACGATATCCATCACCATTCCGTCTATAATTCTCCATAAAATACGTTCCTGTAAATCTCTATTAAGAGGAACTGCCTTCAAAATTGTAACCAAAGTAATATCAGTAAGGAAGTCAAGAAAACCCATTTTTTTAAGAAGAAAGATATTCTCTAGATAAGAAGTCTGAGAGGGAATTATCACTTCCTTTTTTATAATGAGTTTCGAAATAGAAAGGGGCTAATTGTGCCTACCACCTAGCAAATATTAATTTGGATGCATCATGTTTAAAATCTTTATCAAACATATATTTGACTAATTGACCATCTGTTTTTATCACAAATTTCTGATTGTAAAGAACATCCGGTAATTTTAAAACACATTTAACGATAGTTTACATTTCATGAGCTACCGTTGCATATTTTTTCTGAGCATCGCTTCATTTTCCTGAATGAAACCGAATAAGGTATTCATTTTTATCATGCGGATTAATCTGTTTTAATATTCCACCATAACCTATATTGGACGAATCTGTCTCAACGATCTTTGGCCAAGCAGGATTAGCAAGGGTTAAACAAGGCAAAGATTTCACTCTTTCTTTAATAGTCTTTACAAGATCTGTGAGACTAGTAGTCCAAGGCTTCTTATGATCTTTTTTTAGCCTGTCGTATAACAGAGCTAAATCTCGAGACAAATTTTTGTAGAAGGGGAAATGTAATTTAAACTTCCCAGAAACCGTTGCAATTGCTTCCTATCTGTAATAATATCAGGGAATTTAGATGCGAATTCAATAGATCGCTGAATAGGAGTCATTTTCCCTTGACAAATCAAATGACCCAAAAATCTAATTTCTGTTTGAAAAAGACTCATTTTAGGTTTAGATATGACCAAACCATTTTGAATAACTATTTTCTTAAAAATGTCTAGATGCTTAATATGTATTTCAAGAGTCTTTGAGTATACCAAAATAGCATCAATATAAACTATGATGAAATCCAAATAAGGATTAAAAATATCATTCATAATCTATTGAAATTCCGAGGGAGCATTTTTTAATCCAAAGGGCATTACATTCCATTCATATTGTCCAAACGAAACATTAAATGTCGTTCTATAAGAATGGTCTTTAAATAATTGGATTTGCCAATATCCAGATTTTAAATCAAATTTTGAAAAGATATTAGCATCATATAATCTTGATAATAAATCCCTTTTGTTTGGAATAGGATACCTAATCCATTTTAAAAGTTTATTTAAAGGTTTATAATTAATTACAAACCTGGGAACGCCTCGTTCTTTTTCTGCTGCGTTATTAACATAAAATGCAGTACAAGACCAGGGTGACTTGGAAGATTTTATTAAACCCTTTTGCAAAAAATTATCAATTTCCTTTTTGCAGAATTCGACCAATTCGGTATTCATCTGACAAGGACGTGATTTGGTAGGGATATTTTCTTCAGAGAAATCATCTTCATATGGAAGAGTTACAATATGCTTTTTCCGATTCCAAAAAGCACTAGGATGATCAGCACAAATATCAATGGCCATTTTTTCAGAAATGAGTTTAATCTTTTCCTGTACTTTAGCAGATTTTAAAGTATCGAATATATTCATACTAAATATCTCAAGTTGTAAATAATCAACATTCTTTTGTTTCATTTCAATTAGAGCATTAATATCTCAAGAAATAGGCTCAGTGATAAAAGTATAACTAATATCTTAATTTTTATAAATAGCAGAAAATCCTTTAGCATTTATATTAGTAAAAGGATAAATTGCATTTATAAAAGGAGTTCCTAGAATAATAGGAGGGTATAACTGATTTTTTTACTAAGAAAAAGAAGTGAGGAATACAAACTTTATTCTGGAAAATCCGAGTATTAGATAATTTATACATTATATCCAAAGCATGACCAGATGCAGATTTAACCATATGAGTTGTTTTTTTCAAAATATTTAGTAGGTACTAGACCTTCTTGAATGCAACTCACATCAGCGCCACCATCAATCATAGCAATATTAGTTATAGAAAGAGTATTATCAATTAATATAGTACATTTAACATACCATTTATGAGCTGTAACAATTTGCATCATTTCTAGAAACATATTTTGTTTCGGATCAATATTCAAAGTGTTGGCAAGAGTATTTTCTTCAGTAGTAGATTCATCAACCTTATTTTTTCCTTTGATATTAGCAGACTCAATCTGAGTAAGACGGTGATCACAAATAGTATGGTTTTGTTTAAGAAATTTAATTTCTTCCTTCAAATGTTCAATTTCTCATTTTAAATCATCAAAAGAAGTATCACGAATAATCATGGTTTGTTTAGAAGAGAGTCTATTATGAACTTCAAACAAGGAGTAAGGAGCAGAATAATTAAACTCATCTTTAAGCTTTTTATCGTTAGGAATACTAGTTGAAGAACTAGTTTTACTAGCAGCCAATTGATTGATCTTTTCACGAAGAGTATTATCGGTAACTTCTTTTAGAAGTTCTATCACATTATCAGCAGTGATAGTGAACATATTCATATCTTCAAACTGAGATTGCAGCTTGTAAAACTCATCATGTTCGCAGTGACAAATATCACCATGACATTTGCAAGCATCATTCAAATCTTGATGAACCTTAGAAGGCTCAGGTTGCTCATCCTCTGTTGCATAACTTGCTTCAGAATCATCATAATCTGATTTGGAACCACAAGTATATAGAAAACTATAAATCTTCTCTTGGATATCATCATCAAGTTCTAGAATCTTAAGCTTTTCCAGCTTACAATTTGGAGCTATATGCCCAAATTTTCCACATTTAAAACACTTAATCTTATCAAGATTTCGCCTTGACCTATTCCTGGTAAATCTACGAGATTTACGATGAGTCCTACGCTCATCTCTTTCTTCTCTAGTCCTTCTTCTAGATCTTCTTTTCTTATGATGAGATCTATGAGATTTTGATTTAGAAGTTTCTCGGTTGGTGCTTTTTGAAGCATTCGGTAAACACTACAACAAATTCGATTATCAGGGACAAATAATTTCGTCATTTATAAATCATATTTCGTCACTAAAATTCTTGTGAGACGAAAAATAATTTGTCACTCAGTCGTCACTAAATGTGTGTCTCTAAAAGTATACAAAGACGATTTAGTGCTTCGTCGCTAAAAGTATTATATTAACTACAAAAAGAAAAATCATCCCCAAATGCTTAAACATTTGTGACAAATTCATTTGTCGTAAAAAGTATATTTTTTGTAGATAATAGTATGTTTTGTCACTAAAAAGGTTATTACTACTGACAAAATTATATCGTCGCTAATGACTATATTTTATATACCAAAAATTATTTTGTTATTAAATGTATTAATTAGGGACAATTTTATTATTATAAAAATGATTAATTTTCCTATTATCCTCCCCCCACCCCCAACCCCCCACCCCCCATCTCAAATTTATTTTAAACTACTCCCTAGGAGCTCCCACATCATACTTTCTTGGGCATTCGAACTTACAACCTTAAGGTTGGAAGTGAGGAGTGTTTACCATCAGATCAACTCTCTCTTGTCTCTCATTTTTAATTTATTTTCAACTTCATTCACTTCTTTCAAATTTAACTTTTGTAGAAATAATATATTATATGATTATTTATACAAATACACAAGTGCATGAAATTTACCACCCACAATTCATTCAAATGTAGATTATATTTTAATTAAACTGTATATTTTTTAACATATCTTTAAATATATTCAGTACGATTCTGTTATTTTTATAAATTTTAAAAATTATATAGTACAATTATAAATTTAAATAAAATTAAACTTTCGATTTTATTTAAAAAATTGAATAATCAGTTCAATTCGGTCAGTAAATCAATTGTTTTGTAAAAAAAAAACATCGATACCCATAACTATATTTAGTACTTCATCATAATATATTTGAAATCCTAGGTTGTTCATTTCTTTCATTTGTGCTTTCATTTTTTTAGTTTATTTCGTTTTTAACACTGATGGAAAAGTTAATAGAAATTCATGAAATATTTCGCACCTTTGCAAAGTCTAAGTTTGTAAGTCAATGTTATCTCTGTATAGTTCATCTACGTGCATTTGTGGAATTACTATTAAATAACTACATATTTTTAGACAGAAGCAAATAGATCAACTTAGTATATGCAGTTTACCAATCACAAATCAATAGATACGCACAAAAATTAACACCAAGACTTGAGAATTATTTTTTCTATCATCTTTATCGGTGAAAGTGTATCAAATAAAAAAACAAAAGTGTTAAACCAACAAATATTAGTGATCTAGTGGCAGAATCGTACCCCACTTACGATACTTATAACCTGGATTGTATTTTTGAAATGATGCATAATTCTGTAATTAAGAAAATTCATGAATTGAACTTTTTCATTTTTACAAAATGGACCGAATTCGTTGGTTTTAATATTTTCCCTCACCAATTAACGAAAGGACTCTGTCTATTTCTTATGAAGCACTTATATTATTCTTTTTGTAAGTTGTCACTTGTAAGTATGGACAGTTGTAGCAAAAAAAATTGTATTTAACTATGAATTTTTTTCGTAGCAAATAGTTGAATTATTCACTACAAATTTTAAGTCGTCGCTATTTAACACCTTACATATTTTGTGACAATTTTTTTGTTCTCACTGAATCACAGATTGTTTAGAGACAATAAAATCTTTGTCACCAATTATTTATACTATTAGTGACGAAAATAAATATCATAATTAAAGTTAAATTCTTATATCTAAAACTTATAATATTTAACTACGAATTCTAATTTGTCAATATTGTAACAACATATTTTTTTAGATGAAATTTTTTTAGGTAAAAAAATCAATAAATTTTAAGACAATATAATTTGTCATGAATTAGATACATTATTAGTGACGAAATAATGTGTCACCGATAACTTTAAATTCGTGACTAACACTACTTAACAAATGACGCCAATTAATTTTTTGGTGGGAAATTTTAGTAGATGAAACTTTGCTACGGTTTTTTTGTTTCGTCACTAAAAGTATGTGTCTCATATATTTAAGCACGAAAAGTAAATTTTGTCACTAAAAGCAAACAATTAGTGACGAATTTGATGTCGTAGCTAATAATTTCGTAGTTATATATCATATTTGTTGTAGTGAAACCGAATTGAGTACAAAAATCTCCTAATTGAGACTTTTCTCTAAGCTTATCCATCTTAAGCTATCTTAAGAATTTTAACTCATTGCACAAATTTATGCCTTCTTGCGTACAAGCCCCAATAAGCTTTCCATAAGTAAAATCACTATAGGGAATAGTTCCTTGAGGATTTCTAAGAGTCTTTTTTACTCTTTCTGCAAATAAAGAAGGTAAGCCATCAATAAATTTGGCTTTCCAGAATTCTAAACCATTTTCGGAAAGTTTCATGACCGACTTAAATAAGTGTCTTTATACCATCTAAACACACCTAAATGTCTACATCTAAGACCATTTAGACGAGATCTAATGGTTTCATATTGATTGGTAAATCTACCACTAAAATGTTCAAGAATAGTCAAAATAAGTGTATACACAGCGTCTTCTCTATTTTGAACAAGGGCAAAGCCTAAATTGTCACGACCTTCATTTGCTGCCTTTGCATTAATTACTGTTGCTCTGGCATCAGAGGGCATATAATTATCCCACCATCCTCTTAGTTGAAATCATCTTGCAGATGGTCCTGTCAGTGTTATTGACACTTTTGCAAATAGTAGCATACATAAGCATCCTATGAACCATAATCGTCAATTGCCTATCAGTTAGCCCATCGAGATTCCATTCATAAATCTCACTTCCACTATAAGAAGTGTTAGTTTGATTCTAACCTCTTTCCTCTATTAAAACATCTTGAGGAGTAGGCCTGGGATAGTAATATGTTTGGATGCTAGATTTTCTAGCATAAGCAGTATTACAACTAATCTTCTTTGGATACCCATGAAGTTTATTAACTTCCATTTCCATTTGAGTTTCGAAGTCAAAGTGGCTTCCATCTCATCTGCAAAATCTTGAGCGAGACTTATCGGTTTCGCACTTATGATTATGGTTGGTTTGATAAGATTTCTAATAAACAGTTGATTAAAACAACTGAACAATCCTTGGCATTAAACTCGTCCGAACAAACTATTCGTTTATTAAATAAGCGTGATATTGAATTATATAAATCTCAGTAAAAAAATTTGCATATTGGCATGGTTCAAATTGCTTTTAAACCTCTAACTCTTAAAGGGTTACCAGAGACTTTCTTAGCTACTCTACGAGATGTGAGGAATTTAAATTTTTGTCAATCCTTGATGGGTTCGATAGAATCTACGGTGGCTTATGGTCCAATTTATTTTAATGCTCAGCCCAATTTGTAGTTATCTTTGACTGATTCTAATATATTAGATGCTTTAACCTTGAATGTTAAAACGCATGGTTATAACTATGCGACTGGATCTGAATTAATTTGCTCGTCGTATAGAGTCTATTATAAATTACTTGCTACTTTGAATCCTAGATGTAAGTTATA